GSMRKTTTWARGMYTTTTTAAAAAAACTAACAYCAAATTTKAAAAACTTCCAAGAATTAATACAAGRCTCACCTTCTCCGGTCGGTTTTTCATATTCAGCGCAATCATTRTCGATACTCCACCATTTGCGACGTAACGAATCAATTTTCCCTTTTTCTTGCATTCTTAGTATTGCAATTGAAATGTTGTTTACGTATGGGTTTTCTTGTGCAAAAGCTATGCCATAACTACTGGAACCAGTGATATCCTTGACTGCAATATGATAACAATGTGAATATAATTACTTTAATCAATAAACAAATGACTAAACCAATGTTATTATAAATAAGGGTCTCATACAAAATCATAAGCCTCCTGGCAAATACATAATAGAGGTACATTTGAACATGTCTTCATTGGTAATCTAATCCTATAGAGAATCAATATTCAACAATATTTTTGTAAGCAAGGATACTTTTGCAACAAGATCTAAGTTAAAAAAGACAGCCAACYATCTACTGCATGGTCAWTTTTGATGAACTATGCACGCTTGAACATTTCTTTTTGCGATTCGCCTGCCTTCTYCCYCCTCGCTTTAACTAATTTTTCGGTAAAATGAAATGTCATCATAAATTCTTTATRACTTACTAGACATGACGTCGCATGGCTTTTTGTGCAAGAGATACTCTGCAAACGGGCTTTCTTCGATGAAGACATTACGTTGCTCTTTTCTGACATGATCGAATCCTTGAGATGTTGATTCTACCAAAGTTTTCTCGGAGGAGATACGCTCCCAAAGCAGTCTGTATACTCGGTATTCAGAGTTCTTCAGGTAATYGGCGAATGCTGTKTCTCCCATAACATAAATGTGGTATTCTTTTTCTAGCGCTTCGTCGAGGCTGGATATTTGGACATTCTCTTGAGATGTGGTCAGAACAGAGGCAAGGTTGGCTGTGTAGGTTGACACCCAAACAATGATACCGAACCAAAAGAACCCAACAACAACACGGCCTGTATGTATCATGGGAACGGAAAATAATACATACTTTAGTCGATTTAAAATTACTAATAATCAATCATTTATTTATTTTTATTAAATGCATTTTTTTCATTGGGTTGTTGGTCCTCTTTCCTAAAAACTTCCGACCAATTGTATAGCGATAAAAAATACGGCATGACAGATATCGAAGCGGGAATTATGGARGGGACACTTGAGTTTATTAGAACGGCAACTATGGTGTTTGTGTTTGCTGCAAGGTCAAAACCTTAGATATGATCCGGCTTTGCTTGTTAGAAATCTATAACTGTTAATGTTTTCTATACCCAAACAACCCTCTGTGAAAGGTAATTCCAACTTATTGGAGTAACCGTATTACAATTGAGCTACCTGACAACATGCGTGGTGTAGTGTCTCCTCCCTGCTGCAACATACAGGCCARACAGAACCATAAGCTGTTGAACCAGCTGAATTCGTCACCATTCTGTTCTTCATCGCACAGACGGTGGCCATATGGACTAAAAGAMGTTTGCAAGCTTATTCAATTCAGGGATTGTTAACAAAAACGATGGCCTTTTCTTGTGTGCATAATAATTCTTTATTCCATATATTGACCGGAGTTGACAATATACATAAAAGAACAAAAATAGTCAAAGAAATCCCAGAATGCTAGTTGCCAGTGCCTTGAATGATATAACAATGGCCAGATAGCAAAGAGCAATCAGTTTTCTCTCATAAAAACAGATGTAACTTAACAGATTAACACCTTAGTATTAAAAAGTKTTAAAATTAGAAAAACTCGTTTAAATGAAGTTCTTTTTTTCACTGGGAAGCTGTTGATTTATTCTACTATGAAGTATAAAACCAAAAGATCAATTCAAAGAGAAAGTCTTTACCTGTAATAGTTAACAAAAGACAAGATGGCCGTGACGAAAAGCCAAGTTACTAGTGTCATGAACCATACAGGAACAGTATAKGGAGTCATGAATCCAGTGATATCATATTCTTTGGCCTTTGGTCTCTGCATGACGAGGTCCATTGATATAAACATGAACGGCTTACTGAACGTTATGTGCTCCAACCTCTCTGAGTTGATTGTAAGTGGCATAGATGACATATCAGCATTCTGAAGGCAATCGATAGACTATGTCAATTAAAATCAATTACTCAATTTAAATTCCATATATTTTAGTAAGAAGAAACAATGAAATGCATCAGGAAGCCCACGATTAAATTACTTATATAAGGAGTATTTTGGGTTTAAGTAACAATGCGCGTAAGAAGCAACTAGTCTCTATAGTTTTACGGAAATTGCAACTTCCCCACATACGAATGTCTTGGTCTTCACACTGATTATATATCAACCTATGGGAACACATTTTTAAAATAAAATGTGGATAAACTCTGTTTTGAAACAAAGTTTCTTTTGTATTGAAATATCTTGCTCACAAAACAATAGCCAAAGGATGCTCCTAATTGGCGATGTTCCCCACATAGCATTCTGTCAATATTAAAGCTAAGGAAAGCTTTCAAGTAAAGTCGGAATCGATATTTTAATATCGATTTAAAAATAAAATATTTAAAAAAATGCGCTAACTTGTGGATCAGGAATTATGTAAGATTTTAATTTTTTAACTAATGAGATGGATGGATTATACAATACACAATTAGCACATTCTTGCATTCCATTGCAGTTTGCTTCCCTACTTCTTACTCGGACCATTACTTATTAGTTACTAGTAATTTGTTTTGAAAGTTCTCAAATTGCACTCGCCCAATCGGGCTCATGCAATTTCAAAAAAACCTTTAAAACATTACTCGTTATGATTAATTCTAAATTGTACTTTAAAGTCGTGCGATTTCCTATACAAAGAATAAAAACTCACTAACGTGCAATCAATAAACATTATGACAAAATCGGTCAACCAAAATTCTACGCCCAACGTGGGGCTCGAACCCACGACCCTGAGATTAAGAGTCTCATGCTCTACCGACTGAGCTAGCCGGGCTTGTTAATTTTTTACGGAATTAAATTAATCTTTTTTCACAACTTTTTCTTCAGAAACAATATACCGACTCAGCTCACACTAGTTTACTGCTAGTTCCCACTGATACGTTGCCTAAAGATTACTTGAGCATAGAGAATTTGTCTACGCATGACCGAAAGACAGAGCCTCGACGTTCTCAACATGTTCGTTTTTGAGAAAATATTAAAAAAATGCACTAGCTTTATTATGGCAGATAAAATTACGAAAAATAATTCTGAAATTATGGCAGATATTAATGTTTTAACCAATGAGATGGATGGATTATATATACACAATTAGCACCCTGTTGCCGTTTGCTTGCCTACTTCTTACTCGGACCATTACTTAAYGTGTATCAACAGTCTCTAGCTGAACAGTATATAGTTGCTTGAAATGAGAAGTTGATTGAAAGTCAGCTTCTTTTAGTAAATTTGAATTTTCCTATTTTACYTACCCCCTTATAGACCTCACCRACGACCCCTGCGAGCGAACCATCCGGGTTTGTCCCTCCATATCGTCCATCGGCACTTAGATAAAACTCGTAGTCGAAGTTCATTATCTCTGCTATTTCCTTAACTAAGTCGATACTGAATCCAAAGAACTCTTTCTTTTTAGTAGTTGGGTTTACTTTGCTCATGACGAATGGAGGGTCCTAAGCAATRCGATCAACAACAAAAGCGATAATACTTAATAATACTACTCTTGCAGCAGAGTTAGGATGATCTCGGCAAGCTCTGGTAATATTGGGCAATTCTAGACATGATCAGCAAAGGTTTGGAAATAACTAATAAAATAAACGACAAAGACAAAAAATTACGACGTTTCGAGATCGACATGATCTCATTCTCAAGTGATATATTTTATTTGCTGTAGTTGCTTTTTATAACAGTTTATCAAAATTTACATAAAAATGTCTAAACAAAGAGTTTGGCCCTCAGGGAGTCGGATTGAACATTAAGAGATGKTTTTTTAGATTGTATGTACAACATCTCGTAAACAAGGCAATTAAATTTGCTCGTGCATGATGTCGAGTCCTTATTTACAAGTATTCCTCTAGACGAAACCATAGAGATATTGGCAAATAAAGCTTCGACGCCAACTGGTTCAACCGGACGTATAACCTTAACATCAGTAAAGATGATTTGATCGAGCTTCTTACAATATCCACTAAGAACCAGCTTTTCCAGTTCAACGGCCAGCTCTACGAGCAGATTGACGGAGTAGCGATGGGGTCTCCTCTCGGTCCCCTCCTTGCTAACGTTTTCATGTGCCAYGTGGAAGATATTCTACAGAATACCGGTAAACTACCATCATACTACAAGCGATATGTAGATGATACCCTGACCATTATGCCTGACATCGACACAGYCAATACCTTCCTACAAGATCTCAATCAAGTTCATCCGGCATTGAAGTTCACTATGGAGTTAGAGCATAATAGTACTTTGCCTTTCTTAGGTATCCAACTTCTCAACAAAGCTCCTCAGATTCTAACAAAGGTATACGTTAAGCCAACTAATACAGGCCTCCTTCTTCACTACCAAAGTCACGTTGATGAACGTTACAAACGCAGCCTAATTTCTACAATGCTGGAAAGGGGCTATAGGATATCGTCCTTGTGGAAAGAATTTACAGAAGAAATCGATCGTTTAAAATGTCTATTTTCAAAGCTGAAATATCCTCAAAAACTAGTTAATTCCATCGTACGCCGCTTCATTGACAAGAAGAAGAAAGTTGATATTGACCCACCCAAAGAAGATAAAGATACCGTGAGATTTACCATTCCCTTCAAAGACCAACGTTCGGCTGACTTCGTTAAAAAGCAAATCATTGATTTGTCTAACAAAACATCCACTTCCATCCAGCCTGTTTTTGTAAATGACTGTATTGGAAAAGCCTTGCAAGTTAAAGAGATCAAGCCTGAATTAGTTAACAATCAATGTGTAGTTTATGGTTTTCAATGTGACTTGTGCGATGCAAGTTATATAGGTTACACGAAACGACACCTATTTCAGCGCGTTGTTGAACACAAACAGGCCCAATCGTCAATTWACAAACACTTTRAAAAMGATCATGGCATTACACCAGGGGAGTCATTTTCAAGTTTATTTAAAGTTATTTTGAAATGCACGAGTAAATTTAATTGCCTTGTTTACGAGCTGTTGTACATACAATCTAAAAAACCATCTCTTAATGTTCAATCCGACTCCCTGAGGGCCAAACTCTTTCTTTAGACATTTTTATGTAAATTTTGATAAACTGTTATAAAAATCAACTACAGCAAATAAAATATATCACTTGAGAATGAGATCATGTCGATCTCGAAACGTCGTAATTTTTTGTCTTTGTCGTTTATTTTATTAGTTAATTCTAGACATGCGCACATAAAATAGTGGAACCAAATAGAGCCAAGTTTTTTTCCTAAGCTGTCCAAACAAATGTTAAAAATATCTATTATCCACTGGAACAAATCGTTCACTTCAAAAGGTTGTAAATTTGATGTAAATATTATGTAAGTGTCCAAAATGATGTAAACTTGATGCAAATTTACATCAAATTTAAGTATCAAATTTACATCATTTTGGACACTTACATAATATTTACATCAAATTTACAACCTTTAAAGCGCGCAATTTTTCCAGTGATCATTTCCTTTTAAAACAGATATTGATGGAAATGTTCTCAAGGTGTGCCAGGAAAATTAGGTAATAGCAATAATCGAAATGAGTAACGTTCGCCTTACCTCTACGATCGCAATTCTCAATTTTCTGTTTAATTCACTCAAAGGAACAACCTTWGATAAGCCCTGGTTCTTTGTTGGAGATGACGTAATGGTCAGAGATGATATTTCGTTCCATTCTCCTATCTAAGCAGTTGATKGAAGAAAAACATGGTTAATTCACATGCAGCTGATCAAAAATGCCTAATAGCGGTAAAGAGATGTTGCTGAGCTGATTATCATACATTAAAGGGCTACTTGTTGGACGAAAATTGCGAAACATTAGAAAAGACTTGGAAATCAAATAGACCTATCCATATGGGTCTAATAATCATGAAGGAACAAATTTCAAGAAGATATCGATACAAATCCTTAATAATTTGGGCAAAAAATGTTGGAGTAGATGACGTCAGTCATTTGCTCCATCCTTTTGTTCTTCCATCTTTTGAATCAAAATTTCTCTGATGTGGGACAATTACAAAACAAATATTTTCCCGCAATTGCTTTTAATAGATATAAATGAGTCATATATTTGTATTGCTTGACGTTTTGAAATAAGACAATTTTCATGCAAGTAGCACTTTAAAGTACGGTAATACGAGCAGCAAAACCGTCTAACTTATCTCGCAACACCGCTGCAAACTAAGCCGGAAAGCAATGGTGTAAAAGGTCGTACTTTTTGCAAAACAATCCGTAGATATTGCGCGTGTCACCACAAGTACCCAACTTGCCTCGTAGGGCGACAATCAGCTTACTGCATTCGGCAATCAGAAATAACGCGGGATTTGCTCAACCTGCAACAAATTACTTTGATACGAGACAATTTGGCTTGCCAGTAGTAAAACGCGCAACATCGCTCGTTTTGCAGTAGGACTAAAAAGAGACTCCGAGAAACGTGGSTGCAGGATAAGAGATTTTGTAGGCAAATATGAGAAGTTTCACAAACGTCTGATGTAAAACTGAAGTCAACGAATAAACGTAATAAATGTGAGTAAATCCAAACCGCAATTTGCTGCAACAAAAATCAGTCTTGCTTACCTTAACAAATTTACCATCCCGTAAATTGATAATGTCTACGACTGCTTTATGCCGATATCCACCGTTAGTAAATTTTAACGTCCCAGTTGTGCCAATAGTATCAACCTGTATGTAACGACCAACAGAATGTTTTTCATGCTTTTACAATTAGCTTTTGAAATTAAAAGATGGGATTGGAAGAATGACCGTTATCCGTATTTCAATAAAACGTGCCCTCACTATTTGGTTTCGTCAATGTGCCAAGAGTAGTTTTAATATCATTACAGTGTGCAAATATTTGTGTATTGTCACGCCTCCATTTCGACAGAATTGTTGAATCATTTTCTATAGTTTTTTCCTTTATTTCTATATCATGTATAGTGCCATGCAGTCATCATATTCAAAGTTTTGATATAGCTTGAACATCGCATCAGAATCGTAGGCATCAAAAATTGTGTTTTGCTATGAAAATAGGAGTCGAAGTTTTCTGAATATTATAACATACTCGTTGAAGTATTTTCTTTTTCTGCGAATCAACAATACTAATGATTCTGTACCTTTTTTATGTATTCTAAAAGAAGGTCCCCATTTATAAATTGTGTCAAATGTCCTCCTGTTGTCAGT